TGGTAATTTTGGATTTCGGAATATACACTGTCAGTCAGTTGACCAATGGTTGTGACCATTCAGCCATAGTGAGTCAGTAGTATTTAAGTTGTGAGCTGAATTATAGTTTAACCAGTCAAATTGGTGTGCAGTAAGCCATACATCATTATAATATTTTATGATTTTTCCTTCTTTCGTCCTACTTAGGTTTACTTGTTTTGAGGTTTGCCAAGCTATCGGAGCCGATGACTATGAAAACTGTAGGTTATATAGCTCAGAACCAGTCGCATTGGCGTAGATGCACCTATACTTTATCTTAATCCTTACTCCCACGTCAGATCTCGTTACTGTCTTTTCTACTCGATTCCTATCGTCGTATGGGTCTCTTCGACTTTTAATTTTTCGATTTCCATTTCTTTGTTTTTTGTCTTGTTTTCTTGTATCTTCATGTACTGATGTACGGTGTAACCACTTGGACTGTTTTTCAGAGATGTTTGCTTATGAATAAACCTAACTAATTAATAGATTGATTGGCCACTGGAAGGTAACCAACTTCATGTTGTCTAGTCCTAAGTACTGACTGGATTCTATAGACCATTTTGCAATGTAATGTGGCCACTAAATTAGGCAGCTCAGAATCGCTAACCACTTTGATAGATGTTAGCTGGATGGAGGCGATTGGCAGGAGGCATTGGACCTAGGTCTCGTGCTTGTTGACACTTATCAGAAAGGCATACCTGTAACCCCGACGAAACTGATTTCCCGCCTGAGACTCGGACCCGCATCACCCAGTGTTGTAGTCAACGACGTTACCACTGAGCTGTTCGGGCCGCGATTCACATCCTGTAGAACTGGTCACCCTCCAATGATCAATCAATGTATCTAATCCAGTCCTACAGGAAGAGGTGAGCAGCGGCCCGAATAGCTTAGTGGTAACGTCGTTGACTACAACAGTGGGTGGTGCGTTTTCGAATCTCAGGCGGGATATCAGTTTCGTTGGAGTTGAAGATACACTTTGCTGACGAATGCCAACAAGCACGAGACTTAGGTACAATGCTTCTTGCCGATTACCTTTATCCAACTAATAACTGATGCGTGCTTGATAACCTAAAGCAGTTATGAAATATGTTTGAAGAGATATAATTTATACAACCAACTGTTTTCCATGAATATTAACTCAGAGAATCTTTTGTTCATTAAGTATGCATCTATTCAAGTTGATCTTTTGCTCCCTTTTTATTTATGTAGATATTAACTCTACCATTGCTGCTATATAAGGATCTTTCCTACTGGTATTGTATCTGTTGACATTACCCTGTGATTACCTATCCTTGATCGCTCTCTTGCCTCTGACCATATCATTTTTAACTTTTAACTTTATTGTATCTCTCACCCTGAACCACAAATCACAGTTTTTATTTCAAACTGATTGTAAAATAACTTTCTTCTGGTCAGTTCTAGAATCCATTCAGATAGATAACTTTGCATTTTGTTCAAGTCATAAGCTTTATAACCCAATTAACCTACCTAGATGGTATCATTCTTTCCCAAATAAATTTGCGCTTTAGTCTAGTATCTCATTGTTTATCTGTGAAGGTCATTTTCTGTTCAACGTCGAGCTCAGTAGATATTTTTTTGACGATTCATCAATTTACTTAATTTGATCAAATAGTATCTCAAATATTGGATGCTAATCGAAAAAGGATTGAACAAGTATACTTTTTTAAAAATTCATTTATATATCTTTGATATTTTTACTTCGATTATTTCCCTGAATAAACTTGAACCATGTTCTGTGCGAAATGTTGGAATTATTCTGCTTTAAACACTTGATGACATACAAATATAACCTATATCTAATATTAGTTAATTAATCTGTTTTTTAAGAAAGCAAATGCCTTACAGTTTGTATTTTTTTTTTCTACTGTGTAGGCTTTCCTGTTGTTTTGATTTAAGACTACTTTTGCGTGTGCCCACTTTATAGTTTTCATGCTATTTCATGCCGATGTAAACTTTTAGGAATGTAAACTTATCAGATTTCTACTTTTCTATTGTGAAATTTAATTCAAGAATACCGTTTAGTAGATTGTCTATTTTCTTTATTTCGATTCTTTCACCTGTGCAAAGGTCATACCTAACCTGGATTGAATAGAATTCTTAGCTTTTGTGCACAGACACTAATAGTTTTGTTGCCACTTTTTATTTATTTATTTTTTTAAGTTTATTTTATCATCGATTTACATACAATTTTTAAGACTCAGCTGTAGGATGAGTAAAATCTAACCAGCAAAAACACCTATCGTGTGAAAGGTGTTGGTGGTTTTGTGTGATACGTCGATGTCACTGTAATGAGCTTGAATAGTTTGTTTCTATATTAATCTTCAAATTCTTCGCCTGCATTAATATCTCAAGAAGGAGAAGAATTTGTCCTTCGTCTTGTATTTATCTTTCAGATAAATATTCTAAGTCTTATTAATAAACACCGACTCTGAGACGATGTAAATTATTGGTTTCATATTTGTCATCACCCACTAATCAGCTCTTTCTTTAACGAATAGAAACTCGATAGGACTTACAGTTTCTTTCTTCTGGAGTTAATTGTGATTGTAATTATCAAGTTATTCAAGAAGAACAATGCACATGACGCAAGAAATCGAAGTTTTAGTGGAGATGTGGTTCGTTTGCTTATGATTTCGACTTTTGGACAGTGAGTTCCAGTTTCATCAACCTGGATAACTGGATAGTAACATAAGTCCCTCACACAACTGTGACCTACACTCTGGTAACCTAAATCTCTATTGGGTTAAGTTGCCATATTGTTGATTATTGCAGTCTGAGCAAGGGAATTTTAAACTGTTTATTTGTTTGTTTACTGAAGAAAAAAGTGCAAATCTCATTCATGTAATCTCACCCATGAGCGTCGTGACCAGCCCATGGATCGACTAACTATCCGAACTGCACCTGACCTATCTAGAATACGCATAATATGGTTATGTTAGGTGAAGGAACTGACAAAATACACGGTCTCTTGAGTGACTTGAACAAAGTGTGTGTTGCAAAATGGTGCTTTGGGATTCGATTAATATGGGACATAGTATTACTGACTAAATGTCCAAATTGCTACATCTCAGCAATATTAAGGTACAAGACAAAATACTGTTGTATAGAGGTGGTATAAAACCACAGGACAATACGAAGAGTTTTTGGAAGCATATGCACCACTTCGATCAACTACCAGCTATTTCACCTAAATTCTCCAACCAATGGCTTTAACTGCCTCATGAATCCCAACTTGGAAGCTTACACAACCTGAACCAGCTGATGATGAGCCTTTGTCTGGCCACTCTTAGCCGTTTGTCAGACTAAACCCACTTCACCCAATATTGTACGCCACAGTAGGTATCCCTATCACATTTCCTAACTACATGGGTCGACGAAAGTCTATAAACTCATCAATCATTGGCATTTTGGCGGTAAGGTTTGTATATTGCAGTGGCCTAGCTTTCTGGGCTTATTGGAATCACTGTTCCTTGAGATCGTACCATGCCAGAATGAACAGTTGTTTAGTAACAAAACTGAAAACAACTACGAAGAATCAACCCTTTGCAAGCTTTAAGTGGTACACAAATTCCATCTAGTGAATGGCAGTTAAATTCATTTTCGTTCCTTTTTACTGTACTAACGTTGTCAAGAAAAAAAATCATTTCCTGTCTTCTAATTTCACGCTGCCAACTATACAATAGATCTTACCAGGTTTGAAGCGTTTGTCAGATTTCCAATACACCCTCATAACCAGCTCTGAGGAATCTTAGACTTGGGATTTAAGTTGTACCTCTCAGATGTGTATAAAAGATTTAACTGTGCTTTTTTATTCTACTTCATCCAGTCAGTATAATGACTGGTACCTGTGTTCTAATTAATGTACAGAGAGTGTGTCACTTTCTAGAGTAGAAAGTGTATATCTCCACTGGGTGTCACTTCAGTTATTTGTTTGTTGTTCGATTTGGAAAGAATAATTTTAGCTAGATTATCACTACAGAAGGTGGTTGACTAATGACTTCTGAGGGCTTTCTCTCATTCATTGCTTAAAATCCAGTCCCAACACTATTGAGATGTAGAAATCGGTCAGTCAACTGTCATCGAACAGAGAAAGTGTAGCTATGATATAAAGGTAACTCTCTAATAGTTGTAATTTTCTGAAGAAGTAACTCAAGATGAACTTTTCTTTCTTCTACTGAGTTCATACATGAATTATAATTCAGCGAAAAGTCATTTTTAGTTATTTCATGACATGCTTAAACATGCTGTAGTGTTAATGCATAGAGTTTTACCTAATTATTTAAACGCATTTTATTTATCTAGGGCATTGAGAGAAAATAGTTTATAGTTTACGTGAAAAGCGTAATCACAGCTATGAAGAGAAAGAAAGCATACAAAGGACAAAAAATTTCTTAATCATATAGAAGAAAGAAAACGGAAGTTACAACAACTGAATTTTTAGTCATATTTATAAGTGTAAGAACGAGTTGTGATACATTGACAGATATCGATCAAACATGGTTATCTATCATTCCGTAACAAAATGGTTATAAACTAGCCATCCTTTGATCATATTTTTAGAGTTAACTCATTGTAGAGTTATCAATAAATTGGTTATAAATATTTACACACAATAGTAAGTTCCTAGTTGTGTTACTATTTCAATTGTCAGATTTGCAACCACACATTTCATAATAGCATGTATGTATACTATACTATACATCAACTACACTGAAGATTGTTCACCAGACTATAAGCCACATTTACTGTATGAAAGACCATTGCTTCATAAAAGAAATTAGTTGTCATATTCCAGAAATGATGAAACCCAAATATACTATACAATCTCTTCGAATTAGACCTTCAGGTTTCCAAGTAAAATTATGATTTTTTTCTGTCTATTTACAGTTATGTACGTTTTAATTCTGTACATTTTCTCTCTTATATTGATTTAATGGAAACTTTCTTTTGTATATTTATAGACTCAGTCCCGGTGCCAATTGTTGGATCTGCTCCAGTACCAAGCAATCCCTTAGGCAGTTGTTCTAGAATGAACTCACCTATTTCAAACATGAATATAGTATCCCGACCTGCTGGTTGTGGTGGTAGTTCTGCAACAGATTCATCATTACGATTAATGCGTACAAGGTGTACATCGTTGACGGTGTCTACTGTTGGAGCTAATAGTTTAAGCAGTGATGCAAATATCCCCGGTGTTCGTCTTCATGGTTCTGAATACCAATCCCAGGCTAATCGATTAAAATCTCAGCGTATTTTACAACCACATCAATCATCACATTTACGCATTTTTCAACCGGGTAACAACCATTCAGGAGTAGGAGTATCCCAGACACCGTTACGTGGTTCACAGCAATTCCAGTCAAAACCTATACCACAAAGTCATCTCCCCTCATCATCATTATCTCCACAACACAACTTCATCGTACAACATCAAGTAAATCCATCGTCTAGTAGTGGCTTAGGATTAACGGTTAGATCGAATCCAAATCAAGAATTAACAAATTCACACTGCCTTAGTGCAAGTTTACCGGTGAATGTTAATCCACTGTTGTGTGGTTTACAGGATTCTGACATCAGTGATGTAACCGATGATAAGGTGAGTTTACACTTTGTAACTTAGTTTTCCGTTGTTGATGTTTTTAGAAACTGAATGGATAAGACATTATTAGCAGATGGGATCGTTGTGCGAATACTAGTAATTTTGTCTTGATAGGAATGAATATTGGCTAACATTTAGATTCAGAATGCACATCTTGCCTATAGTCTTTTCGGTCAGATATCTTAGTGTGAACAAAAGCACTCACTGAGGCAAGTTTTTCTACTTGATATGTCCAAAACAGAAAGAAATGTGTATTCTGAACTTTGCTGCTACTCACCGTCTGTAATGTTAAAGTTAGACGCATATGTTTAATTCCATTGTTTAAGATAAAAATGTTTCTCAGTCGCTATGCATTTTCCAAAGTGAAATGGGTAATTAACACAGATACAATGATTGATTACTTACATGGTAACTGTCAATCCTTATTATTTTTAGGGCACTAGCTTTATGTATGGTGTTTTTGTGACCGTTACGTCACATTTGTGTGTTGGAAATCGCCTCTACTTCCCGAAAATTCGACTTAAAAATGTTTTAAAAATAAATGCTTACAACCATATCGTTTAAGAAAATTTGAACTCGAGCGAAATTCTGAAGCTGTGTACATAAACTTGCTCACGGGTCAGTTGGTACGCAAGTTCCTCATGTGGAATTTCACCTCGATCATTATCGATGCGAAGAAACAATAAATGCGTTTAATTCCTTTCTGCTTTGTCTTGTTCTTACTTCATAGGTGGAGCTCAGTGGTTTAGGGAGATGACTATCAACAATTGGGTCACGAGTTCGAACCCTGCTCCACCTACCGAGGTTTGAACAGCCAGGTACTATCACTAGCCCTCACACAATAGGTGTAGCTCATTGCCTACTGCACGGATGTGCGCAAGGTGTCTGAGTGCGTTTTGTTTTGTTCGTTCGTTCTGTTGGGTATTAAATTGAAGTGCCTAAGAGTTATTTTCTTGTGTATCTGCCCTAGTGTAATTTGTCAAGTCGTATTGCGCTCTTGAATCCGAATTATGTGCCTAAGCTATGAAGAGCTTTTACAATAATTGTACTCAGTGCATATAATTTTTGTCTTACAAGTTTGCTATAGCTTTTTTTTTCTTTCTACACTAGTTAAGCATGTTATTTGACACCGCATTTAGCCTTGCTGGGTTTCGTTTGAAAGAAATTTGAGTGGTTGAAACAAAACTGGTCACAAATCCGTAAAGTGTGTAGCTGATCTAAGCCTATCCTTTATTATCTTTAGAATTTTGAACGTTTTTACTAACCTCTGTTTATTTATCCTCTCTTCTGTCTCTGTCATACACTTTTGTCTAGTTTAATATCACTCTTCCATCAGATTCCTGTTTGTTTATTAATATTTTCATGAGTTGTGACAATCTCAACTGATGGGGATTTTACACTAATCTATCTGTCTAACATCTCCTTTATGAAGTTATCTCCTTGATAGATATTTCACACAGTGGAACAGTACTATTTACTGAAGAACGTTTTGTAAATCGGCTGTTAATCATAATCACATCAAAAGGTGACTATGAACAATAAATTATGTTGGAAACTTCATCTAATAGATAATGCTGTTTCGTTCTTTAAAGTATTCAGCGAACAAATCAACATAGAATTATGCACTACCACAATGCCCAATTTCTATGCTCGCATATTAGCATGTTTTTAAAAATTGTTACCAGACTATTCATCGAAGCGATTACTAATAGTTAGCTAAAGATGATGTTTATCATTACTGACTTAAATTGTTTGCTTCGGTTCACAGTTTTTGTGCAATCATCTGTGATGTCGCATAACATGTCAATTTCTGGGTGTAAGTATAATGTAGTTGTTCATTTTGTTACTTAAAATGGTGAAGATTCTAAGTCAGATGTTACATTATATATCGTGTTTCTGTCGTCATGTTGTCTGTATAAAGTGGTTATTTATCTGGTGAAGACTGAGGTGATAAACATGGGAGTACACGTACCTTTCGTGCATAGCCTTTTTTGTACAACCTGCTAATAATCCATCGGAAACAGTGTATCGCTTAAGTGATTTCCTGCCAATGTTGAGGTGTGGCTAATTGAATCAATGACATATTGCGACCGAACCCAGTTTATATTATCATTAGAGATGTGACTCACTGATGTCAGCAATCAACTTCCAGTCAATGGGTCTGAGGTTTAGACATCCCTCCACCTACGTCAGCCTGGACAGACTTCACACGATATAGCAATCACAACCTGGTAAATAAAATTGTATCTGCTAATGCGGCATGTGTAATCAGTCTTCTCATTTCCTATTGCCTTTGGAACTGAACTCTTCTTTCTTTCTGACCTTTTCTGGTGCGGATCATTTGTTCCGGAACCTGGATGATATGCTTCGAAATCTGTTTGTAGATGTGGCTCAAATATGCTGCGAAATTAGAAACATCTTACTACTTTCTACTTATTATACCCTTCCCATGGATTTCCTATCTTCATTGGTCTCGTCTTTACTGTCAGTATTAGAATGTGTGGTGACCTGAACAAGATCCTATGTCGTTTTATTTGTCTTCCATGATGTCTTTGGAATACCGACGGCCTTAATCAATGCTGAACTGTCTTGATAATCGTTGAACCCCTACATGACCAGCTGGTGGTAATCAGGTTCATCATGTCTGTATCATTGAATGAAGACGATTGAAACAATAAGCTGATTTGTTACAGTACTACTGATGTCTAATATTCTGCTTTCAATGCTCTACTCTGTCGTTCAACTTCATACTAGTAACAACAGATTAGCCAGTATACTCTAAGGTTGGCATGGAATGATTTCATGTATTCGCGTGTGCTGAGAACTATATATGAACTATCGTTTAGAATGTTGATAGTCGGTCGGCGGGAACCCCTGAACCTAGATTTCATGTTTGCTGGATGGATTATTGTGAAGAATAAGAATCGGAGATTCAGATAACACAAAGTGTTTATTCACCTTTTGAGATAACAGAATTCATTGTTTGAGCTATTGACTGGATGTTGCCCCAGCAGCAGACATTTCACCAATTTGCAGTAAGTGCTGGTTAAGCTGGTGAAAGTGGACAGTTGTGGGACGTGATTGGACACATGGAGTTGTAGACGGGTAGAGAATTGCATCACCACCTACAGACAATTGTGAAGCCTGAAGAATAATGGAGAACTGTTGTGTCGCACCTGCCGGATTACGGGAGGACTGTAGTTGAAGAGTGGTATAACAAGCAGTTGGCACAGCTGTTTGATGTTCTGGATGAACATTGATGACAGTAACCACTCCACTGGGTCCTGGTGGTGCTGCCACTGGCATTGGTGATACGGTGACTATTCGTGGAGCTGACATGACAACCATTTGGTTCTGTGATTGGTGTTGTTGCAAGACTTGTTGTTGTTGTTGTTGTTGTCGAATTAACCTGATGGACTGTTGCAAAAGAAATGCATACTGTTTTCGATGGAGTTCTTCAAATTTCGACTGCTCAACTTGTTGCTGTTGAAGTCCATATCTGTTGTATAATTTTTGAGTGTTAAGGCAGAAGTGGAACCACTGACCTGTTTTATCGACATACCTTTTGACCTGTCTATTGTTATTTGATTATCTGATGGTTTCGACTTTGATTTTCTTCTCGCGTCAACTGAAATATCATTAGAGGTTTGAGAGACAGTGGCAATACTTACACTGTCATCAGTAGATGTAACTCGATTTAAAACGATTTCATTGAGTAAATTTGCATCACTGAAACGGGCATCAGGAGGTGTAGCAGGTTCAACCCTCCGTTTAAGAGTTTGCTTTCTTCCACACAAACTGATTGACACTGGTTGTGTAACACGATGTTTTGTAATGTCATGAAATACTACTTCAGAGTCGGGTAACTCAGCTAAATCCCCACGTACATAATCACGTAATTTTCTCAGAGCCAAAAAGAAAGGCAGTTTGTCTTCAGCACGTGGAAGTTGTGTACAGCTTCCGCTGGTAGACGGCATAACAAAAGTGATTGTATCTGTCCCCTGTAAAGTTATGGGTTGCCTGCCCATGCAAAAAATCTTGTGTCCAACATATGCCTCATAAGTAGATTTACCATTGAATGCAACAATTTTAGGTGTGTACTTCTTCATTTTTTTGAGCATAATAGCTATGCCGACTTTCTCCTGTTTACGTGTTAGTCTACCTGTTCGTGGAGTTGGTGTTGTCGAGAAATTAGTGAATCCGATGCCATAATCCAACATTTTGTAGTCATCATAGCAACTGACATCCGTTGGAACTAAACCAGCCATTGATAAACATGTCCAGAAGTAGTCTCTACCATCAGCATAATGATGTCCCACATATACTGAAGTCAAAGTCGGACTTTTCCCTACTATCACAATATCCAGTCCTTCTTTTAAATGATCAGGAAGTATTTTGTTTCTTAATTCCTCTTGAGAGTGCCGAATGAAATGTTTAATATGTTTTACCGACTGTGAAATTGTTATCTCATGATCTGATGAAAAGTGTGTATTCCCGTTACTCATTTCCCCAGGTGACATTAATGTCTCACCTCGTTCATCATTTGTTGTTGAGACAATTGCAGTATCATTCTGAACTGTCGACTTATCCATACCAATGACTTCTTTTTTGACCGTTAATCCGATATCGAAATTGTCTGATTTTTTCTGCCTGTAGGTTGTGCGTGCTGTTCATTCCACTCCATGACTGTAAATTAATGAGGATTTTTTCAAATCAGCGTTAAAATATCGCTTGACTTCTGTGAGATATGATAATTCACTCACTTTTGAACTGTCATCACATCACGTCACACGATGTGAGATTTGTATTTCATTGAGTGTTCATGACTGGACTCACGTTGTTGTTCAAAAGAATTCAGCTCACTTGACGTAGTAATCATTTTTCCTAGTGAACTAAACTAGTGTGGAGGAAAGTGAAGTATGTATGTGTATTGTGAATTTTCAAATGTGAATGGTTTACTTGTGCTCCCAATTCTCATGAATCTACTTTAACGAGCT